GGAGATTATCAAACTCAGGGCCTCTTCAACCCCAACAGTATCGTGGCAGGGCTGTATTGTTCATTGGCCTCCAAACCAATCAAATGTTTCAGGTAAAATTTTCCACTAGATATATTGTTATAATTGCAAATGGGTAATAGTAGGAATGCAAATGCACAATAATAATGTGTCCACTAATACACACGGCACGGCTAAACATTCAAAGCCTATCATACCTTGGTTAATTAGGCCACCAGTATGGTGCTTTGAGACTTTTTCTTTTGGATCAATTTATTGGTGGGAATGAAAACACAAGGAGGGGAAGAGTGACTTGGCCTGGCTCAGGAATTCTGGGAGTTGAAGTCCACAAGTCATAAAAGAGCCAAGGTTGCCTACCCCTGTTTGACTAGACCAAAATGGCTCTCAAAATGTGCTTACAGCTAAGGAGTAAGACTATAAACAGATACATAAAAATAATAAACTTGGAGGATTATGCTATTTAACACATAACATATGACATCATACAGTACTTTTTCAGTAAAATATTGACATGCCCTATTTTTTTTAAAAAAAATCCTCAATACTTGTCACTTGGTGTCTTCAGAGCTAAGAATTTAAATTAAAAAAAAAGCTTGCTCTGATGAGCAGAGTTTATTTATTTTAAAGAGGCAGCAAATGAAATATATCCTCTGAGCCTTAAAAAATTGTTTTCCTCCCATGCAATTACTGGTCAGTTCAGAATAAATCAGCCAGGATGAAATATTGAAATTTCTTTCTCACATGCACTTTCTATCACAAGTTCCCCATTAAAGGTTAATTTGAATATTGGACTCTGGAACCTCAATAATTACCTAAAGAACAATATCAGTTCTAAAGCTTGTTTTTAAAACAATGCACTTCACTAACAATGGGGTTGATTAACTTAAAAACATCGTGGCAAATTTGGGAAAAAAAATTGTACTATAAGGATTTCTGCTTGTTCTGATAAATGACATAATTTCCTATTTCTTTATTCTTTCTAGATTGAATTCACCAAAGAGCAGTTGGAAGGTGAGTTAATTCCATATCACTGGCCACCAAGAGACCTGGATTTATCTTACCATATATTTATGCATAAACAAACATAAACACAAGCAAATGTGCAAGCAAGCATTAGTGTAATTCAACAGACAACTTTTATTTGTTTCTCCATTGTAACAAAATGACCACTTAGACTTGATTCCTAAGATTATAAGCAGATGTTAAGAGAAATGATGTCAGGAAGAGTAAGCTAGTATCTGTATCAAATAACTGATTTATCCCATCTCTATCCTTGAACGTACTTCCACCATTATATCAGATATAACCAGATCCATGCAGATCTGAATTCTGTTGCAAACGTCAGTTATAATTCAGGAGAGACTGAATTCATGTTTTATTCCTGTTGGATCCGGTGCGACCAGATGTAATGGAATGTGTAAATGACCTTGGGGAAAGAGAGGAAAAGATGCTGTCTAGTAAGAATCAGACGAGAGTCAGGAGCCTCAGTGGCTTAATGATCAGAGAGAGAGAGAGAAAAAAAACTTAGGAAGCACCTGCAGTTAAAAGGGGCAGCAGGAAGTCTGTACAGTATTTTCAGACTTGCAAGATATTAACGTAGTCTTACAATAAAGTAAGACCACTTTATTATAACTATATAAGTATTATAACTTACTTTATAAGTAAGATATACTTTTCAGTCCTACAAGAAAGACCAGACTAAAAACCAAGGCCACGTAGATCAGTATTACTTTTATTGTAACAGAGTCTCCTTGCAAGTCTTCCTGCATTCATCGTTCTTCCCCCTCCCTCTTTATCTTTGTGTGAAGAAAAAAAGAGAATTAAACAATCAAGAACCCTTCTTGCAATAAATACCTCAGGCTTTAGGGTACTGTAAGACTACAGGTAGTCCTCCAAAATTTCCGTTGCTAAAGCAAGACATTTGTTAAGTGAATTTTGACCCATTTTTACAACCTTTCTTGTTAAATGAATCACTGCAGCTGTGGAGTTAGTAACATGGTTATTAAGTGAACCTGACTTTGCTTGTCAGAAGGTCGCCAAAGGTGATCACATGACCCCGGGACACTGCAACCGTCATAAATATGAGTCAGTTGCCAAACATCTGAATTTTGTTCATGTGACTGTGGGGATGTGCAACGGTTTCTAAGTTTGAAAAACGGTCATCAGTCACTTTTTTTCAGTGTCGTCGTAGCTTTGAACAGTCACTAATTAAACTGTTGTAAGTCAAGGACTACCTATACGACTCCCTTTGAATTTCCTTCTCGTCTCGCCTGAATATGAGAGCACTTTCAAATGACAGTATGTCTTTACTAAGGAATCTGACATGCTTGGCGGGCTCATCGACACATTTTTCAAGCTGTGCCACTTGAGGAGCAAATTCTCACGATGCTGTGAACCTTGACACAATGGTCTGCCAACAGCAATAAATCCTCATGATGCCACCTTTGTCACATCTCCAGCCTACCATGAAGCCAGCCTAAATTCAACTTTAGCTGGTTGAGTTTTAAAGCAATGTCTTCCTCCTTACTGTATGAATGTCGCATGGCCCCTCACTGATGACACATCGGTAATGATCCCATCAGAGGCTGAGACCTGCCCAGCTCCTCTTGCCCGCCGGCCCCATCCCACCCGTCAGTTGCTGGGTTCTGCCTTCATAGCTGTTTGGTTTCTATTACTGGAGAGACCTAATGATCTCGCTCCCACAGCTGCGTTTCTCCATGGAGAAATGCCCTGGAGAAGCATTATGCTGGCTCTTAAGAGCCATAGGCTTAGTGCTCTTTTGCAAGAATTTTTAAACATGTGTCACTTAGACAATCTGTCACCATGGCCCAAGCCTGCCCATCCCTGTCCTCAACACACGTTCTGGATGGGGAGACTTTGCTGCTTTTCCCACTGGCAGATGACCCTGAGTGGGACAGCAAACGTATCTCACATTAAAACTGCAAAGGACAGAAACAGTCACCAGTCTTGCTACAGAACCAGAAGAAATATGTTGTTGGGATAAGGCAAACAATGTCACACACTTTTTGGCCCATTTGGAGAGGGAAGGGATCCTCATTAACATAGCTAGGAGGAAAAGCCCTAGAAGGAATTTTAATAATTCCCAGAACTGAAATTTTGCTATAATTAGCTCAATTATTAGAGAGAGGGTTAGGTATAAAATCTGAGCTTGGATCTGCACCTGAGGAGCAATGTCTGAGTGCTCTAACAGTGTGAAATGGAAAGGATCAATTCCCCAATAACAAAATCCCAGAAACAAGACAATGATGCCCCTTTGAAAGATCATTGAGATGCTTTACATCTTCATCTCTCTAGATCAGAGGTCCCCAACCTTTTGGGCACCAGGGACCGGTTCCGTGGAGAAAGATTTTTTCACGGCCCAGAAAGTGTGTGGTTTTCTGTGCTGCCTGTATCCCACACATGGGGCTTTGCTTGTTTGTTGCGGACCGGTTGCTGGCATGCCGCAGCCGGTACCGGTCCATGGACCAGGGGTTGGGGACCCCTGCTCTAGATGTATCCCAAACAGAGCTTGCTATTAGAGAGGAAGCCTCCTCCTAATTGACTATGACTGACAGAAACTGGGCAGGCAGGTGTTGCAGACGGCAGTGTCCAGTTTTTTAGGATTACATATAAATCCTCTAGTTGACACTGGCAGAAAGACAAGCTTGACACTTTATCTCCATCAAACTCCTGGCCCCCTGCAGCTCTCCACATCACCAAAGAACTGTATCAAAGTTTGATCTGATCTCTCTAGATTACAAGGAGGCCTTTGGGCTCTTTGATCGGGTCGGCGATGGCAAAATCCAGTTGAGCCAGTGTGGAGATGTGATGAGGGCACTGGGCCAGAATCCTACTAATGCTGAAATCCGGAAAGTCCTGGGACATCCAAAGCCTGATGGTAAGTCATCTCTGGTTTACCATGTGCAGGGAAAATTATAATACAGCATGACCACAGGATGGCAGCAGATTCCAGATTTAAGGGATCATATTAGAACATTCAGCCTTCATTTATTTATTTATTTATTTTATTTATAATCCCATTTATACCCCGCCCTTCTCCCGAGGGACAGAACAGCTCTGTTGTAGTTAGGAATATAAAGCTGGAAAATGTGGGTTATGTAGTTCCACTGTTGAGGGAAAACTCTGTCTTCTTCTTCTGTCTTAATTATAATCTGATCTGCAGAAATCAACAAGCCATGATTTCTGATGCACAGGAATAAATATCTTAACCTATAAACTCTGTTACAATTATTAGAAGCATGCAGCCATTCTTCTTGAACATGCTAGGAACCTGCAACACCATTTATGAGTAAAGAAATAACTTTAGTATAATTTATATTTGCAAGAATATGTTAAAAAATTGAATCGACACTTAGTTGAATGAAACATAATGGCCAACAGTATAATACATATACAGTATAATGCTAAACATAAGTAGTAGTCTATGTATCACAGTAGCTGAGTTCAAGAATTATGCTAAACCCAAATTAAACTTAGCAAAATGTGTGAACTCAGGCAATGTGATTAAGAGGAGGGGTTTAAAAATATAAATGTATATACTCTTCCCTATACTGAACACATAACTTAAATTAAGTGCATAATATAATCTAAGCACACACAAATATAGTGTATCAAAGAAAAATATAGCATATCAAAGATAACGTTTTTCTAATTTAATTTGCATTTAAAATTTACATTTTTCAAACAATTTGGATTTCAAGAGTTCAGACTAAAAAATTATAGCAGTAAAAAGTGATAAGCCAGTCTGGCATAGAACTTAAAACAGGGACGCTGTGAGTTTTGGTGTACCTTAGGCATAAAGCCAGTTTAGGTGATCTTGGGCCATCCCTCTTTCTTAGCCTTTGAGAGGCAAGCAGGGGAAAATCATTTCCGAAATTTTGCCAATAAAACTATAGGGACTCCTCCTGGCAGATGCCAGGAATCAACACTAACTCAAAGGCAGACACACACAAAATTGCAAGACTAGCAGTTGTGCAGGACATGTACACAGCCTGGAAAGTTGTTGTTTCTTTATTGTATTATGCTTTCAGCATATTTTTAATTGTATTCTACTATTCAAGCCGGGAGAGTCCAACCAGCACAATCCAAGAAAATGAATACAGAATAACAGAGTTGGAAGGGTGCCTTGAGATCTTCTAGTCTAACCCCCTGCTCGAGTAGGAGAGCTATAACTATATATACCCTACATACATACCCAGTACATACGTACATAAATGAGAGAGAGTCTATACCCTAAACCAATACACCCTATACACTATAAAAAGAGGTATCCATAGGACAGAAACAAGTCCCTTTCCCCAACAGCTCAGTATATGTCAGTTTCTATATTCATCTATATTATTTATATTCGCTTTTCTCTTAGGATAGTGAATGATCCCAGCCGCAGCTCTGCAACTCACCGGCTTCAAAGAGGAAAGTTATTTGGGGCGGGCAGGGGCGCTCATATTGCATCTGCGGACACGCCTGTTCCAGTGATGGCTGGCCTCTAAGGAGATGCCGTGTGTCATGACTGGAGCACCCCCGCACATTATCATCTTTCCTCCTTCGAATCCGGGTTACTTACGTAGCTCTACAGTACAGAGATAACATAATAACAGAATTGGAAGGGACTTTGGAGGTCTTCTAGTCCAACTCCCTGCTCAAGTGGGAAACCTTGTACCATTTCAGACAAATGGTTGTCCAATCTCTTCTTAAAAACTTCCAGTGTTGGAGCATCCATAACTTCTGGAGGCAAGAAGTTCCACTGATTAATTGTTCTCACTGTCAGGAAATTTCTCCTTAGTTTCACTAACATTTTCCCATTTTCACTTGCAGCTAAGAACACAAATCTCTCCCCAGAATGTGTTCTCAGATATACTTAGATATACTCACTTAGATTCCCAAGAACGGATTCTGGTTATAAGCCACAGTTATCAAGGCTGAGCAATTCATCACCTGGGGCTATATATTGCCAATCCTTTTTTTCTGACCGTTCAACACATCTAATTTAATTGTTTTTAAAGGACATGCAAGTCCCTCAGCAATTTTTTTTCTTTAGTTTTAATTCCTTAGTGAAGGAGTTCTACCTATGTGTCACAGAAATAGCTTTTTGAGATTCAAGGATGGAGAGTTGGGTGGGAAATGAATGCTTCTTCTCCTTTTGCATCTTCTCTTTCCCCACCTTCTGATCGCCCCCAGAGCTGAAATCTAAACGGGTGGAGTTTGAAGAGTTCCTGCCAATGCTGCAGACAGTTGCCAAGAACAAAGATCAAGGCACCTATGAAGATTATGTGGAAGGGCTCAGAGTCTTTGATAAAGAGGGGAACGGCACCGTAATGGGGGCAGAATTGCGCCATGTCCTTTCCACTCTGGGTAAGTATAGTTCCTACCACCACTACCATGAAAAGGCACTAAAAAGCATTACCAGGGGAAATTGCCGCAGAACTTCCAAACAAGCAAATTCATGGGTTTGTCAAAAACAGATCATGCCAGACAAATCTTACTGCATTCTTTGACCAAGTGACAAAATTAGTGGATCAGAGGAATGCTGTGGATATAATTTACTTGGACTTCAGTAAGGCATTTGATAAAGTAGATCACAACCTACTATTTGACAAGACAGAAAAATGTGGGGTAGACAGCATCATTACCAGATGGATCCGTAGCTGGCTAACTGGCCGTACTCAGCGTGTGGTCCTCAATGGAACCGCATCTACATGGAGGGAAGTGTGTGGGGGATGCCCCAGGGCTCTGTTCTGGGCCCAATGCTCTTCAACATCTTCATCAACAATTTGGATGAGGGGATAGATGGGGAACTCATCAAATTTGCAGATGACACTAAGCTGGCAGGAATAGCCAACACTCCAGAAGACAGGTTTAAGATACAGAAGGATCTGGACAGACTTGAACACTGGGCACTATCTAACAAAATGAAATTCAATGGAGAAAAAAGCAAGGTTCTACATTTAGGCAAGAAAAACTAAATGTACAGGTATAGTATAGGGGGTACCTTTCTCAATAGTAGTAACTGTGAGAGGGACCTCGGAGTCCTAGTGTCCACTTAAATATGAGCCAGCAGTGTGCTGCAGCTGCCAAAAAAGCCAACACAGTGCTAGGCTGCATTAACAGAGGGATAGAATCAAGATCACATGAAGTGATTATTATCTCTGGAATGACCTACCCCCCGACCTACGTACAGTTGCGGACCTGCGCCTTTTTTGCCGAGCCCTGAAGGCCCATCTATTCCGTGCGGCCGGCCTGGCATAGTTTGGATTGTGTTTCAGTGGGGGGTTTTGTATGGGTGTGTTTTTAGAACAGGCCTATTATTCAATTCGATTTTAAAACAGAAACTATTTATTTATTCGTGGTTTTTAGTATCGCCTGTTCAGCACCCTGAGTCCCGCAAGGGAGATAGGGCGGTATATAAATTTAATTAATAATAATAATAATAATAATAATAATAATAATAATAATAATAATAATAAAGTGTTAATACCACTTTACACTGCCTTGGTAAGGCCACACTTGGAATACTGCATCGAGTTTTGGTCAACGCGATGTAAAAAAGATGTTGAGACTCTAGAAAGAGTACAGAGAAGAGCAACAAAGATGATTGGGGACTGGAGGCTAAAACATATAAGAAACGGCTGCTGGAATTGGGTATGCCTAGTTTAATGAAGAGAAGGACGAGGGGGGACATGCTAGCAGTGTTCCAATATCTCAGGGGCTGCCACAAAGAAGAGGGAGTCAAGCTATTCTCCAAAGCGCCTGAAGGCAGGACAAGAAGCAACGGGTGGAAACTAACCAAAGAGAGAAGCAACCTAGAACTAAGGAGAAACTTCCTGACAGTTAGAACAATTAACCAGTGGAACAACCTGCCTCCAGAAGTGGCGAATGCTCCAACACTGGAAGTTTTTAAGAAGAGACTGGACAGCCATTTGTCCGAAATGGTATAGGGTTTCCTGCCTGAGCAGGGGGTTGGACTAGATGACCTCCAAGGTCCCTTTCAACTTTATCATCATCATCATCATCATCATCATCATCATCATCATCATTATTATTATTATTATTATTATTATTATTATTATTATCTTAAGCTATAGCTACAACCTCAATTTGCCTCCTTGGGAAAGGCACTAATCAATAAACATCAGTGTTCTCCTGATCTACTTTTAACATTGGTTGTAATTCAACAAATTATTTGGATGGTTTTCTATCCCTTTCATGTTAATTTTAGCTCTGTTGTAATGTCTGGTGAATTATCCTTTCTCCATTGATGGGGGTTCTTCTAATTTGATTTACTTTATAAAATATCAGGTGAAATTTGTGTTTTAGTTGTAAAGTGGCATTTTAGTTGTAAAGGTCTTTTTTAAAAAGCAAAACATTGGCTTGCCTACATTTAGAAATATTGACCCAATGTGATCCCCACAGGCTTTTAGCTGGGGTGAGCAAAGCCCTTTATGTTGTGTGTTTTTGTTGTTACCTGGTTTTGCCAACCTTTTGCTTTTTTCATATGTTTTTATTGTATTTTTTCAAATTTCTTTTCACTTAGAAAAACTTTTTACTTTTTTTTTTACTTTTACTTCCACTAAGAGTTACTAGGAATTGGGCGGAGGGAGGGTATACAAATGTAATGAATATACTGATGAAAGATAAACCATCTTCCTTTTTTATTATTTTTTTCAGGTGAGAAAATGACAGAAGAAGAAGTAGATTCTCTATTAGCAGGGCATGAAGATGCTAATGGTTGCATTAATTATGAAGGTAAGATGTTATGCCTGTTATCAGTTGAGTTGTTATGCAAGATATTTGGTTCATGTTGACCCTACAAAAACATCAGAATGTCCACATCTGGCAGGCAAATAAGCCCCCCAAAATAGTGAATGTTGGAAGATTCTTATTTTCACAGAACATTGTATAAATAGGAGACCCCCTATGGATTTTTGTGTGTAAAGCATTAAAAGTGAACATGATATATGTTTTGAGGATTAGATTAGCTAGATTTGAGAAAGAGGAGAATCATGATGCAACTTTAGAGAAAGAGGGCAATTTATAATTGTACTTATAACTATTGTGAAGAAAATTAGAAGCCACTTTGTAGACTTTTTCATTCTATTATATTTTTCTTTTATAGTACTTCTACTTTTTTCGTTTACTTTTTTCTTTCTTGGGATTTTAGGTTTCTATTTGATTGCTTTTTCTTTTTTCTTGATTACCCTTCATTAGTTTGTACTAGTTTTTTACTTGGTTTTTAAAACTTCCAATAAAATTTTATATAAAACATTGCATAAGTATGGAATACTAATATTGTGCTGATATGGGATCTGTGTATCCATCAGTGCTGATGTAGATGTCAGAATTACCTAAAGATTAGCAACGGCACTTCAGTTATTCCTGTTATTTATTAAAAATTAAACCAGGGCCAGATATATTTTTTTTAAAAGCCATTCAAAAGAATGTTATCAGATGTAATGTCTGCTCTTCCAATGAGGTTTGCATTTTATCACAATGTATATAGGCTAGTTGTTGTATGAAAGTAAATTAAAATGATCTGTGGTAATAGTTTGCAGCCAACTTCTATCTGTCATCAGCCTGAGGCAACTACAAGAGCAGGGATGGCTGCTGCCTCAGGTGAAATCATTTTATGTGAAAATAAGTCCTGGGACAAAAATTAACCACATAGGATGATTTTAATCTCTTAATTTCTCTCCTTTCTCTCTCACAGCATTTGTCAAACATATCATGGCAAGCTGAGCTGGGGTCTATGAGTAAGTGCAGTATTTCCAAGCATCATTCTCCCCCCCCCATTCCTAAATAAGATTCTTCTTCACAGCTTTTTCACAGGCAATCCTTCATCTCGCCTTCACATATCCCAGAGCGTTTTATTGCCACTGCAGGCTATGTTATCCAAACTGTACACACACAGTTAGGCAAAACTTGCCAGGACACTGCTTTCTACCACATTCCTGAACTTTACAACAAAATATGAGTTATTGGATCCAACAATTCTTACCAAATGTGTGAAGTTCACTATTAAAAGCAGTTATTAGAGTGCTTGGTGATTAAAAACCAAAGACTGCCATATTGATCCATGACAGAGTAAAATATTGGCACAGTAAAGGTAGTCCTTACGACCACAATTTAGCCCAAACTTTCTGTTGTTAAATGAGATATTTGTTAACTACGTTTTGTCCCACTTTACGATCTTTCTTGCCACGGTTGTTAAATGTATCACTGCAATTGTTAAGTTAGTAAAAAGGTTGTTAAGTGAATCTGGCTTCTCCATTGACTTTGCTTGTCAGAAGTTGCAAAAGGTGATCACATGACCCCGGGACACAGCAACGGTCATAAATATGAGCCAGTTGCCAAGCATCTGAATTTTGATCATGTGATCATGGGGATGCTTCAATAGTTGTTTGAAAAACTGTTATAAGTCACTTTTTTCAGTGCCATTGTAAATTTGAACGTTCACTAAACTGTTGTAAGTTGAGGCCTGTAATATATAGTATATACATATAGTATAATAGAAAGAATGTAGTACCAATAGAAAGTTGATTATAAAGTTGATCGAAAATAAAATTGAGGAATTTCACCAGTTTGTCATTATTTTTCTGAAGAGACATTTGTGCCTTCTTTTAGTAATTTTTGCCAAACTTTGATACTTATGGACATGAGAGACAAATATTTCCTTTTCTTCACAGGGCTGCTCAAGATGCTGTCTTCAGGTATATCTCCTCAGCCTACAGTCCTCAATGGAGTCAGTTTCCCCTTTTTTCTACCTTTGTAAACACACAGTCTGCAACCCAGCAATTTTTCCCTTCGTAGACTGTAAAGATATCTTTATAAACACTGAATTGGTGAAACTTCAGTACATCAGTCAGTGATCATCTATGGAAATAGAAGGGGGCAGCAGCAGCAGCAAAAATTTCACAATTTTTGTGTGAATAAATCCATATTCTTAAATCATCTGACTCTACAAACTACCCATTTTTCTAAACAATAAAGTGTTTGATTTTCAGATGTTCTGATTTCTTGATTTGTCATTACTTTCCAAGCACTGAGGTATGACAAGGAGAGCCTGCTTAATGTCCAAGATGTACACAATCATTTTGAAAAGGATGGGGCAGGTGGCAATATCTGTCTAAGAATTTTCTTGCATATCTGAGCCAGTGTTGTAGAACAAAATAAAGTAACCACAGATTATTTAAATAGCTAGGTTATGTTAAAACCCAAACCCATCGGGACAAAAAGTTACTAAGGCAGAACTTCTTAATCATATTTTGCACTTTCTATTAGCTATGGGGAATTTAGGTGTCTGCTCAAACCCAAAAGAGGTACTTGGAAGTTCAAGTTCAATTTTGACCTCCAGATCTCCAGGCACAGAGAGGAGGGATAGAGTGTCCCTAAAATCTATATCATCCATATCATCTCTTCCCCCTGTTGTAAACAGTGTTAGAGAATCAGTAAGAGGTGTTTATATATCTATATATGTCTGAAGGGAACAAGCTTTCCCCCACTCTCGCTACCCCTCCTTTTCCCAAATTGCTTTTATCTGGAAAAAGCAGCCAGTGATTTTCTGATTTGTCTTTGTAAACCTAAGACAGTGATGGCGAACCTTTTAGAGACCGAGTGCCCAAACTGCAACCCAAAACCCACTTATGCATCGTTGGGTGCCGGATGGGTGTGGCCCATTGGCTGGGTATGGCCAATTGGGTGGGTGTGGCCCATTGGGTGGGCGTGGCTGTGGTGGTAACGGCAGACTGGGTGGGACTAAAAAGTTCAATCTATCAATTCCAACTTTGCAAGATCTTTTTCCCCCCCCCCACGAGAAGTTGAAATTGACTGATTGAACCTTTTTTTTTTTGCACACGGCAGCGGAGGCCTAAAGCGAAAAGGTTTTATAAAACCCAGCTGAAGGCCTAGGACTGGAGCGATGGCGTGCGTGCCCACAGAAAGGGCTCTGTGTGCCGCCTCTGGCACCCGTGCCATAGGTTCGCCACCACTGACCTAAGATGTTACTTGGCATTCAGAATTCCAGGGAATAAAGGTTAATTATTATGTACACAATAGCTATATTTAATTGCCTATTCTATGGCTACTAGGTTATAAAAATCACTAGATGACGTCAGTAATTAAACTTTCTTATGGCTGCCTGTAGTTTTGCAATGCAGATCTGGTAGTCCTAACCTCAAAATCCATCTTCGAAGTCTGTGTGTATAAAGATAGTTTTCTGTATTCAACATATGAAGTGTGTTACAATGTGTCACTTACGATTAAAGAGACTCAGAAAAAAGGCCTTAAAGCAAGCATTCAGAAATTATGTAAACCAAGAGTGCAGAAGCATTCCTTAAGTCCTGGGAAAGGAGATACAGGTAGAATCATTTAGCAACCATTCAGAGTTACGGTGTATCACCCCAAGATACTTACAACCCAGTTCTAAAGTTTTGATGACCATCCCAACACATGACCATATTTCAGGGGTTTGGCAACCAGTTTTTATTTATTTATGTCTTTTAGCTTTGTACATTTTTTATTTTTATGATTGTAAACTGCCCGGAGTTACCCTGCAGTAAGATGGGAGGCCAATAAATGTTATAAATAAATAAATGGCCATTTGCAATGCCCCGCAGTCACGTGAATGGATTTTATTACATTTTTGCCCCAAACCAGCATTTACTTACCAGCAGTTTTCAGCAAAACCACTCCATAATGAACAAATGGTTTGCTTAATGACTGTGGCGTTCACTCAATCACAGTACAGATCACTTTATGAGCATCACGAAAAAGGTCATATAATTGGGTCAGTCACATGGATGACCTGCTTTATGACAGTCACAATGTATGACCATAATGGGCATGCTCAATTACAGTTATATGTTGAGGACTATCTGTACTAAGTATGGGCTGAAGCTTGCCTGACTCCCAGGGGTAGAAGAGGCAGGACAGGACAAACACGATCAGATTTACAACCTTCTGTTATAGCCAATTTCAAAAAGCATAGTTCTGATCTTCCTGTGGAGTGTGTTTCCTGATGTGGTCTACTTCAAAAGGCTGATATAAATATTCCAAAATCAAAATTGGCTAAAGCTGAATGGTCCATTGCATGTCAGCTAAAGGAGTGTGAAAGCAGGAGAAGGAGATAGCACCGAGGGGGATCTTTGAACTTATTTGAACTTGTCCTCTTTGTGTACATAATGGTTTCTGAATACTTACAGTACATATATGGTAGTACTGTTGAATCTATATGGTTTCATGTTGTTCACAAGTAATCAACAAAACCATAACAAAAGGACTGTGGTAGATATAAAGAAATTAAAACAAACAGCTAATCAGGTTTATAACAGTACATGGATAAATTATAGTGCTAATGATAAATCATAACAAAGCCAAATAAAATAACATCAACAATCAAATCAGTGTAAATAATTCAAAGTAAAAAAACATGATGATAATAAATAGTTTGGTCAAATGCTTTCTGGAAAAAAATCTGTTTTCAATAGCTTTTGGAACATTAGGGCAAATTTTAATTCTAAAAGAAGTTATTCTACAAGGTAGAAGCAGTAACTGAGAAACAGCATCTTCTAGACTCCATTTCCAATACAGCAGTACACTCAACACAAAAGCTAATAATTCGATAAGGGCAACAAAGTGAAAATTATAGCCACCAAATAACAAAAAACCCTCCATAATTTCGATTATCACTTCACATATTGACAGGTTAGACAGAAGCCAACAGTCAGGCAAACCATTCATGACAGCCTCCCCACTTTATAAGGTCATTTATACCCTTTATTTTCTTCCAATCTTTCAATAAATAATCTGGAGAGAGTAGCCCCCTCGGTGATCCATACTCACTTTAGAATCAGATGAAGATCTTCCCACCATCTGTCTCATCAGAAGGGTCACCCCAATGCAACTTTTACATTCTGATCTCATAACCCCGTGGTGGTGAACCTATGGCATGTGTGCCACAGGTGGCATGCAGAGCCCTCTCTGTGGGCACTCGCGCCATCGCCCCAGTCCTAGGCCTTCAGCTGGGTTTTATAAAATCTTTTCGCTTTAGGCCTCCGCCACCATTTGCAAAAAAAAAAAAGTTCAATCAATCAATTTCAACTCGCAGGAAAAAAAAAGATCTCGCAAAGTTGGAATTGATTGATTGAACTTTTTAGTCCCACCCAGTCTGCAGTTACCACTGAAGCCACACCCACCAAATTGGCCACGCCCACCCAATTGGTCTCAAACACACACACCCAATGGGCCACGCCTACCTGGCACCCGATGATACATAAGTGGGTTTTGGGTTGCAGTTTGGGCACTCGATCTCTAAAAGGTTCGCCATCACTGTAACCCCTCAATTTCTACTGTACAGTAGTTCTGTTGTATTTAGTAATTCTACTGACTATAGGGACTAAGATCACCAGTAAATTCCAATTGAGTGTGCCACTGATCCAGGATCTCACACTCCAGACCTTCACTGCCTGCCATCGTGTGATGGAATATAGTAGGCTGGATTCCTAGGATGGAGGGTGTGCATACCATAGGAGTAAGAGATAACTCAGTCCAGATATTTTGTGTGAGAGAAAGAGGATAAAGACAACCCTTCCATAGTAGTTCTCAGAGTATATGGTAGCTGCAGACAATAGAGTGCTTAGTCTGGCAATATTCTGTCTACAGGTGTGGAAACAATAAAGAACTCAACTTGGAAGAATCATCAAGTGTCATTCTTGGTTTTTGGGCCTGCCACACAGGCTGATTCATAATACCCTTAACAACAGGTAACCCATAAGGTAGCAGCAAGCAGTAGGTCTCCTAGCCTAGCCAGTCAAACCAGATAAAGGGACACCAAAAGCCTCCATCTCTAATCTTCCATCAACTTCTACAACCTTTCTGTAGTTGCTCTTAAACCTCTCCGATAGTGCCAGACCCTGGTCTCTCTTAATCCAAAACTGCCTCAGTCTATCAGATCCTATATTCTCTATCCCAGACCACAGAGATCAGTAGGTGTATTTTTTTCCAAAATTGGTAGGTAGACCAGTCACCTTTTGTACGCCATCAGAATGAGGGGGTGGAGAATCAGTACGCTAGCAAAATGCTGTTGCTATGGTGGCATTTAGCAATTGCTCCTAAAATACAGTTCCCAGCATCCCTGTCTATTGTTAGATCAGCTTGAAAGGGCCAGGTCTACCATTCAAGAAGTAAGGTGCACTATGTTTTAAGAAAAGAAATGGAATTGAGGCAAAGAGCATTGACTGCCTTTAATTGCAGGTTCTGTTTATATATTTTTTTATAGGTCCAGATCTTATCCATCCATCTGACCCTTGTTAGACATATTAAATTATAAATTAAATTATAAACCTGGTGATTTTCAAACAAAACTATGTAAGAACAGAAAAAGAGAAAATGCTACATTCTGCAACCAGTAATTAATTGTCTGGAGTTTTGCGACTAAGATACAGTACCTTTAAAATAAGTCTCAAAAAGCATTTTGAAATGATGCTTTGGAACGATTCACTGAATCATAAATTGGCTCGCCGCATTTTATCTCAGTGTATTCTTCAACCTCAGCCGAGAAATGCATGGTTCAGCTAGTGGTACGACACCAGAAAATGGGATTGATTGACTAAATCACGATTCTTCACCGTGTTGTGCAAAAGCAGCTGATGATTTAATTTGAGTAAACTCAGCAATATGAGTCAACCCCCCCCCCCCCGCCTTGTTTTAAAACAGGGTTGGGGAACTATGGCCCCTTTTTGACCTGTGGACTTCAACTCCCAGAATTCC